AAAATTTAGGCATCAAAAGATGTTAAACTGAAAAGATGCGCAAAACTTGTTTTGGACAATTTTTAGGAAGCTCTAAATGAAACTTTTTAATTTTTTTCAACTCGTTTTTACACAAAAAAACACACTCTAACCAAATGGTATGCAAACTATCAAGATCTTAATGCAAAAAACTCATTACATCTTCTGACTATCAAAGCTTCCAGAAGATCTTTTAAAAATTACTTGAAAAAGGCCCCTAAATTTACCACTCCCCATAATATCAATTAACAACTTTCGACTTCTGTGGATTTTTGAAATTAAAACGTACCTTATCACATGCCAAAACCTTACGTGCCACCACCCCTAAAGTAAAGGGTGTCCGTAATTTTATCTTATTCAATTGGATGAACAAATTAGCCTTCATTCATTGCCATGTCATGGCTTAGGATTACGTTCTCGGAGACGTCCACTAAGGAGCCTGTCATTGCCCTTAGGCCTCACTTGACTCAAGACCACTGAGTACGACTGTCCCTTTAGAGATCTTGAACCTAGATTAATTTTTTTTTTTGTTCAAATTCTGTGCAGAGCAAAACATGGACACCAAACAACCAAGATGTAATGGTCAACAGATAGGTTTTTTTTTTTTTTTTGAATTTCAATTCTATTCTTTTTTTATTGATAAAAATAATTTTGCATTCATTCTAATGTTTGCGCAAAACAAACTATTTGGTTTTATGGCAGGCAAAGGGACGATAAAGAGTAAAATTTGGTTTTAAATAATAAACCTGCACATGAAGTCATATGCAAACGGATCTACACAGTATTTGCAGAAACAGGTTTTTGTTTGGATGGCATCACTCAACAAGATTGGTCCAACCTGTAATTTCACAAGGATAAGCTTGAATTTTTTGTCTTCAGCTTAACCTAGGCATAAAAATTTGGAATTCTTTACTCTTCAAACCGAGTCCTTTAGTAGCCTGAGCCCATTCACACTTTATAATGTATACACGAATGTATTAGCACATATTTGAATGCATATTTATTGAGGATCCATTTATTTTATAGTCAGAATTGAAATAATCTATTTCCATACTCTGTTTGATTCAAACAAGAGAAAGGATGAAAATTAAAATGGAATTCTGATTCCAACCAACTAAACAACCGGAATCAGAATAGTCCGTTCCGATTCCAGAGTCCAAACCCCTATTCCTACGAACCACCGGGGCCTGAATCATGTATTTTTTATTAATAATGTTAGATGAGAATTAAAATATTGGATTATATATTTTCTTTGTCGAAAACATTGAATTACATACTCTTTATAAATAACAATAATTGATTACTATTTGCACCGATTCATTGACAATCACTATTACATGCATGATGATTCTTTGAAATGAATTGAAATGAAACTTAGGGATTAACAAAATCGATTTAAAATATCGATAGGATATGTTACTAAATGAAGCAAACGATTCTCATGAGTTAGAAGCATACCTTGTAAGCTGGCAAATGATAGCTCATCTGTCCGGGTAATGATTGCAGTTAGCTTATCACTAAAAACTTTGAGTTTTTGGAGATAATTAGTCATGGAGAGATCATTTTACTGTATCGCTCCAAGTTCATTCCTAAGACCAACTGCACTAGCTGTTCCTCGAGGAGAGTAAAGATTCTTAAGAGTTACCCAAACTTCTCTACTTGTTTTGCTTCCTACGACTTGTGTCAGTGTTGCTTCTGTCAGAGAGGATAATAGCCAACTGAAGATGTAACGATCCTATTTGACCCATTGTGTTTATGGTTCTGTTATCAAAGTGGAAGATCTCGAAATGGCTGTAGTTGCCATAGAATGAGATGGATAAGGAATTGTCCCATCAACATGGCCGAGGAGCTCATGGCTCAGAAGAGTATTCTCAACCTGAAAACGCCATATGATGTAGTTGAATCCATCCAACCGAACTGAAATCAGTTAGGGAATATGATTTCCCGATGCACCGAAGTTTAATTGGTTTATAGAGTTGGTAGACATAGTGAAAGTCATGATGAAAATCTTGAATTGATTGCTTATGGCTCTGATACTATAATAGAACAAAAGAGAGAGAGAGAGATTTTGAATGATGGTCGAATAAATCTATTCGACTCTTTCTTCTTATATATATTACAAAGATGAGATATATAAGGATAATTCCTAATCCTATTTAGGATAAGACATCTTATTAGGATAAGAGTTATCCTTTACAAAGATAATTAGTACAATATTAGAAGGACTAGGATACAAGGGGAGTTTAGGACTCCTGGATATGTGCATGATCCAGGAGTATCATTATCTTTTACAGTCCCCGTAGGAGCATAAGGCGAAAAGGGCTGTGCTCATCAACTCCTCTAATGAGCATCTGGGAGGGGTCCTTAGGTTGAACGAACTCCTCAAAATACTTTGAGTCTGTAATAGTTCTTGATGTTATGCGAGACTACCTAGTGAAACTCGCAGATTTAGACACTCTACTTCTCCTCCATTGTAGTCGGTCGAGAAACTTGTGGCCATTAAATCTTGCCATTTGTGAGCAACCTCTCCATGATGGCCATCACTTCTTGAATTCTGCAAGTGAATGTGGCCAATTTGACCTTCCTCTTCCTCTCCTTCCTCCGTGGGTTGGGRACCTTCTGCAGGAACGTGCTCCTTCTGAAGCAAATGCTTCCACATACCACAATCCCCAACTACAATCCTCCCTAGGCCTCTCCAATGTCTGGGTCGCCGTTGTCGTGCACTACCATAAGCTAGTGAAGTCCTGCAGGTTCAGGTTTTCCAAATTTTGCCGGTAGTGGGGTGCATGTTTCTGATGCTCACTAGATCAAACTCCCTCACCCCAATCATCACGAAGTTTGTAGGTGGCAGCATGAAACCCCTCCAGATAGGCCAGCAACTCCTCRCTAGCATACTGCTTCACACCCCTGAGATTGGCCCTGGTGAGCCTAGTCTGTACAATGAACCATTTTGACAGAAACTTTTTTGCAACTCCTAGGACTTAGGGTGTCAATGGACCAATTTTAGATTGGACCCCGTTCAGTCCAAAATCAATTTGGATGGATTAAACGAAGCAACAAGACATATTAGATTGGACCAATCCAATCCAAAATATTTATTAGATTAGATTGGACTTGGTCTGTCCATAACAAATTTATATTGGATTAGGTTGGATTAAGCCAATCCATTGATATAACATAAGAATATATGCRTTAATAGACCGGGTTTGAGTTGAAACCAATCTAAATCAAAATGAATTTGAATAGATTGGACAGTCCAGACATTGAATTGGACAAATCCAAATTGTTCCATAACATTCATTGGATTGGATTGGACCTAGTCCATTTATATAGACTCACATTGGACTGGTTCGGATTGGACCAAATCCAGTCCAATTGACACCCCTCCCTAGGACTAAATACTCATTGGCATCAAGTTAACAATCCAGGGGCAATCAAGTCAGTGAACGTCTTAGAAACGACTAAATACTCCCTGATCTTGAGGTGCCCATCCATAGACTTGCTGTTAAATTTGAAACACAGACTTACTGTTAAATTTATCTCATCTGTGGACAAGTTGCTGATATACTCACCAAAGCCCTGCCTACACCCAGTTTCTTCCATCTGAGATCCAAGCTTCACGTTCTCTCCAGAACGCTTCACTTGCGGGGGCATATTGGGATTAAGGATAAGTTACCCACGTAACGGGATGATAAGACCAGAACTCCATTCATTATCTGTACTCTGTTCATTATCTGCATATCTATCCCTCTACATGTATTTGTATTTCAGTGAAAGTGTAACTCCTCTTTCGAAGGGTATAAATATAGATGGTTCTGGTGAATCTAAAGAGTATCGAAACCTTTATTCCATTTATATATACACCTTGTCTCTGCATATCCTATCGATTCGAATAAGTAATTATTTGCATTTAGTACTCAGCTTTTTCAAGTGCTTAATTTTATTTCATATTGGGGTTTAGTGGTTTTTTACTCTAATAAGCACTTAAATACATCCTTTTTTTAAATTTTCCAAATACCCAATCTAAAGTGAATGAATAAAAATAAATTGGAAGCAATGTAAATCAAGAATTTGATTCGATTTTGTAGGCGTTTGGAAGGAACTCCATTCCGATAATCAAAATCTAACATACCCAGTGAAAACATGGGTATGTTAGATTTGGGTCATATGCCCTGTTTTGTATCCTTGATGCTCTGTTTCTTGTTTCATTGCAGCTTTTTATATGCAGCCTTGTACCTTTTCTTGGTTAACTGAATGAGAAAACAGCCCTGTTTTGTATCCTTGTACCTTTAGTTTGAGGAACTGCAAAAAACGATGGTACAGTTTTTTTTTTTTTTTTTTTTTTTTTTTTTTATCAAAACCGATAGTAAGTTGAAATGTTGATTTGGTCAAATTTATCTCAAATCATGTAGAATAGATTTCAAAGATAATCTAAAAACATTCATTATTTTATTATCATTCTTTTTTTGGTTTTGAACGAGAGAAATAGTCGATCTAGATGGACTGTTCACCTATGATCCAATAACAAAACTTATTTATAGAACACTGGCTTAAACCTATTATGTTTCCAATCTATGCTAAAGAGGCTTTGATATAAGCAAGAGTGTCTTATTGGCTAAGAAATCCAATAAAAGAGAAATGGGAAAATCTATGATGCAAAAAAGATATGATATGCTGGAAAGAGTTTTGACCAATCAAAACCCACCCAGGAATTTTGATAAATAACATTTGTGATTTCAGTTTATTGGTCAGTTGTTTTTCCCATATCATAGTCGAACCACCACTGGGTCAAGACACAGGCCGTATAAAACAGAGCAAAAGGAAGGAACACATGTTAACAGTTCTTCACTTTTGAGGGAGAGTATGTTTAAGTCAATTTCTAAAAATTCAAGTCTTTTACCCAAATGTAAATGCTGACCAGCTGTGTGATAATTTCTTTGTTTAAATATGGACCGGCCTCTTGACCTCCAAACTGCATAGATCTGTACAAGGTCGGCAGCTTCTTAATTTGTAATCATAGAACTCCCATCACCAAACTCATCAGTTTTCAGTTCGTTCGTATGGTTTTCCTTCTTTTAGTTTCAAGAGGAGACGAGACAGAAGGAGCGATCGATGGCAGCCTCGGTTGTTTCTGCTGTAACAAAACTTGGTGAACTGCTCATTCAAGAAGCTGTTTTCCTGTCCGATGTGAGAGAACAAGTTGAAGAGCTGCAAAATGAACTTGAGCGGATGCGATGCTTCTTGAAAGATGCAGAGGCGAAGCAATTAAATGATGAAAGGGTCCACAACTGGGTTCGGGAGATCAGAGAGGTTGCTCACGAAACGGAGGATGCCGTTGACACCTACATCTACCAGAAAGCATCAAACAAATTTGGAAGAGAAGGATGGACGGGCGCCCCAAAGAGGTTCTTTTGCATAGTTAGCGATTTGATCGATCTCCACAGATTTGGAAAGAAGTTTGGAAAAATAAAGAATAAGATCACTAGCATATCTGAAAGTCGACCAATTTTCGGCATCCAAAATATCGAAGACAAAAGAGAAGGATCGAGCTCTTCAGCCGAGATGCAGCAGCAACTGAGACGAACCTACTCACATGTTGTGGAAGAGGATGTCACAGGCTTGGAACAAGACACAAAGAAACTGGTGGCCAAGTTGGTCCACGAGGAGGAGGAGGAGGGACGACAGTTCGTGGTCTCTATTGTTGGTATGGGCGGTCTGGGAAAGACTACTTTGGCCAAGCAAATCTATCATCATGATGAAGTAAAGCGCCACTTTGATTGTTATGCTTGGATTTTCATATCCCAGCGACCCAGATTCAGAGATATATTGCTGAAGATTCTGAAAGATGCCATTTATCTAAGCGACAACAAGAAGAAGATGATGGAAACATTAAACGAAGATGAGCTGGTGCGGATGCTTTATAGAATGCTTCAAACAAAATTATATCTAGTGGTTCTCGATGATTTATGGAAAAAGGAGGATTGGGATCGTCTAAGGCCTGCATTTCCAAAAGGGAAGACGGGAAGTAAGATAATGATCACCACTCGGAATAAGGAAGTTGCACTGTCTGCTGATCCATACAGTATTCCCCATGAACCTCGATGCCTAACACCAGAGAAGAGTTGGGAACTGCTTTGCAAGAAAGCATTTCGCACTAGCTTTTGCCCTTTTCCAGATTTGGAGAAGATGGGAAAGGAGATGGTGGCAAATTGTGGTGGCCTACCTCTAGCCATCGTTGTGCTAGGGGGGTTATTAGCCACGAAGAAATCATCCCCAAGTGAGTGGAAGAAGGTACATGACAGTATTGATTCCATCTTCACCAAAGATGAAGAGAAAGGAGTCATGGGCATATTAGCTTTGAGCTACCATGATTTGCCTTATGAACTGAAGCCTTGTTTCTTATACTTTGGAGTTTTGCCTGAAGATTTCCAGATTCGTAGAAGAAAGTTAATCCAGTTGTGGATTGCTGAAGGGTTCATATCAGGGGAAGGAAAAGAAAGAATGGAGGTCGTCGCGAAAAGATATTTAGAGGATCTGGTGGACAGGTGCATGGTTCAAATGGCAAAAGCAGAATCGAAGTGGAGTTGGACGGGTTGGATAACATGTAACGTTCATGATCTGATGCGAGATTTGTGCGTGCAGAAGTCAAGAGAGCAAAATTTCATCGGGGTTTACCCAGAAGACAATTCAAATAAATTGAGGAGACAAGCTATCCATTTTGAGCATGAAAGGTACGTTTCCTCTATGCAACAGCAAGCCCAAACAACTTCACATCTACGATCTCTTCTGTTTTTTGAGAATGCTGTAGCTGATACACAAACAGTAATGACGAAGAAGCAACTCAGTACTATTTGTAGGGGATTCAAATTACTTAGAGTCTTAGACCTTCAGGGATCTAAATGTTTAAAAAGTCTACCTGCAGAAATAGGATCACTAATCCACTTGAGGTACTTGGGGCTAAGTCTTACAGGTATAAAACAGCTCCCATCATCTATTGGCAATTTACTGAGTTTGCAATTTCTATATTTAGACACTGAATGGGATACAATTATACCGAACGTGATATGGAAGATGGAAAATTTAAGACATTTATATGTCAATTCCTGTGGCTACTTGCGGGTGGATACTCTGTCAAACCTGCAAAGCTTAAATTGTATCACGGCGAACAGCTGGGTAAGGCAAGACTTGAGCAAGTTGACTCATCTTCGGAAGCTATGGATCAAGGAGATTTCGACAACCCAAGTTGAAGCAATACTCAAATCTGTCATTCAGTTTTTCTACCTAAGAAATTTGTCATTGTATTTGCAGCGGCAATCAGGAGAAGTAGAAATGTTTCAAAGTCTTTCAGCGCTTTCTTCTTGTCATGATCTTCTTAATCTGACGTTGTCAGGAAAGATAGAGAAGTTACCTGAACCACATGAGTTTCCAGAAAAACTCGGCAAGCTATTTCTGCAACATTCTTTATTAGAAGACCCCTTTTTAGTACTTGGGAAGCTACCAAATTTGAAGATACTTGTATTGTTTAACTCATATGTGGGGAAGCAGATGGTTTGGTTGGGAAATGAATTTCCACTACTTGAGTTTCTACATATTAGTTTCCATATGGAAGTTGAGGAATGGAGAGTAGAGGAAGGAGCAATGCCAAGACTGAGGATTTTGAACATTGGATATTGCAAAAATCTGAGAATGGTTCCAAAAGGATTACAATCCATCACTAGCCTCCAACAATTAAAGTTGTATGGGATGAGAGGATCATTATTCATGGACAAGCTGCAGGGAGAAGATCGTCACAATGTTCAACACATACCCTCTGTTCTCATCAACGAAACTGCTGAGCAGAGGTAACTTCAGATTTACCATACTACACTCGAAGGAAGATTTATCACTATTAACAATCTTGTCCATGCTATTCTCAATACTAGCATCTTCGACGGGCTCAACCCAAGCCCCGACCGATCCAATCCACAATATGGACTGGACTTGGATTTTGGTCCTCCAATTAGGCCTGCACCCAAATGTTTGGGTCTTTGTAGCACAAACCCAATTTGACCTTGTCTCAATCTAACCCAGACTGATTATATACATGTATATATACATATATAGGGGTGTCCATGAAAAACCGAAAAACTCAACCAAACTGAGAAATGTGGTTAATCGAACCGGTCGATTCGGAATTTTTGAAAAACTGAAGGACTGGTTCGGTTTCGATTAACCTATAAAAATACCGACTGGTATATATATTTATATGTATATTTTATATATATTTTTAATATGCGTCACATATTTTCTATGTATTTTATATAAATATATATTCATTATATATAAATATATACTTATATTATATTTATAATGATCTATTTACAAATATATTATATATTTTTAAAATATTTATAATATATTATATATCATTTATTATTTATAATATAATATTATACATATATTTATATAATATATATTATAGATATAAAAAACCAAAAAACCGAAGAACTGAACCGATCAAAAACCGAAACCGACAGACCGATTAGCCGGTGGTACTGGTCAGTTTCGGTTTGGTGAAATGAAAAAACCAGTACCACCGGTTCGGTTTACAAAAAGGGGCGTGGACACCCCTATATATATATATGCATAAATTTTTAAAATATATTATACATATATGCATACATGTATACAAATACACATACGTGTATATCAATTTTTAGTGAGATGATTGACCAATTTGAGCCCAACTCAAGAACATCAAATTTTAATGCAAGTGAGGATTGGATTGGATAGTTCCATCTTGACCTCAACTTTGGACTTTAGGCCAAATTCTTAGGGGGTGTTCTTTTTTTTGGATTTTGAGAGGGGGGAATGATTTACCAGGATATGTGGGTAAATAACTTTATCCACCTCCTAGGTGGGTAAATAACTTTCTCACCTAAGGGGAAAGTTGACAACACTTGAATGGGACAAAAATGCCCATTTTGATAATATATTTTTATGATTAAAATGGCCATTGCCTTATTTACACAAGAAATAAAAAAAAATAGATAAATGTATTTACTTGAATAAGTGTTTCCCGAGAAAAAATTTACTCAAATAATTGCATTTATCTGAATAAATAACTTACCGAAAAAGGAATGAGGCCTTAAGGTTAGGCCTGACTTGCGCTAAAATGCAACCAGCTCACTTGACTTGTACCCATAATACTATTGTATATATATAGGAGAAGATCCATACTTGTAAATACCTATTCGCTTTCAAACTAGGCATTAATGAATAAGCCACAACTTATGCTCAGTGTTTCGTGAATCAGGTTCTTGGAACGCGGTCAACAAGCTCCGACACTAGGGTTCTTCCAACCTACGCGAGTCTTGGAAGGTATGAACAATCCGGAACAACTCATTCTCAATGAACCACGACTCGGGTTATTCGATCGAGGTATGCAAGCTCCAAAACTCGGGTTCTTCCAACGTGCTACGCGGGACTTGGAAGGCATGATCAATCCGGAGCAACTCTTGCTCAATGCTCCGCGACTCGGGCTCTTCCAAGGTGCTACGCGGGACTTGGAAGGTATGAGAAATCCGGGACTCCGGAGCAGTTCATGTTCAAATGTGAACTAAATTTAAATTTAGGATATTATACACCTGAAACTCACCATGATTTTCAGTATTTATTGTTCAAAATCCACCAAAAATTGTAAACATAAACATTTAAATAATTTATATGACCAAATTACCCTGATTGTGTCCAATACCTACATTATCGTCAACACTATCCTTCACATTAATACCTTCTATTCTTTGAGTTCATCTTCTTGTTGCTCTTCTGTGGGTATAGGTTGCCAAGAGAAAGCAGAAGAAGCAACATAAGTACCCAAAAACAACCCAAGCCTCCTCTTCAATCTCTAATGGTCAAGCTTTTCCTTTTTAATCTTCCTTCTTTTCTCCTTCATAAAATCTAAGAAATGAAATGTATTTATCAAAAACAGAGTATTGTTCATTGATCTACTACGAGCATTTGATAAGAGTGTTCACGGTCCAATTTGGTGCAGTTTGGAGAAAATCTCAGATCAAATCGGTAAATTACGGTTTAAGAAATTTTCAAATCGAATCAAACTGTTTTGGTATAAAAATCAAACCAGACAAAACCGTTTTTATTACAGTTTGGGTGGTTTCTAATACGGTTTGGAGACTTGGACCATTCTATGATTCTATTGGGTTTAATCCAATTACAAAGCCTAAATAACTTCCCTAAAAATTAAAATTTAAAACTTTTATTTTATTATTTTATTATAAAATAAAGAGTTTATCATACATTTATAATTTTATGCATTCAATTTAGATATATTATATTATATATATAATATTTATACATCATATATTCATATTATATTTATACATTTACATTATATATATAATTTCGGTTTATGGTTTGGTTTGATTTATGAAATCCAATAAACCAAACTGAAAATAAACCATATTTTAGAAAACTATTAAATCGAATCAAACTGTTTTTAGATGTAAACCGAACCAAACTGAAAATTTAGTTTAATTCAGTTCGATTTTACGGTTTGAACCATATAATGAACACCCCTAATTTAAATATCGAGTAAAACACCAAATGCTTATTTAAGCAGCTTTGACTATAGATTGAAACCACAAAGTTCTACATCAGTTCAAATAAATGGCTCATTTCTACAATGTAATCATTTGTTCGTATTTTGTTTGGTATCATCTATTTGCACTTCTCCGCTAAATAAATATGATTTCATCTTCTTGTACATCAGGCTGTGTTTTGTTGCAGTGCAATTTTATTTGTACTAGTACAAATGTTTGGGAGTACAAATGAAAATAATGCAAATTTTAATTTGATTTTGTTCTAGGTTTTACTTTATTCTGCTTCAGGTCTTATTTAACTTTATTTGTATTGCAATCAAACAAAATAAAATAAATTTTAAAATAAAAATAAATCATAATTTACACTGAAATCATTTGCATTTCTATGATTTTGAATCAGGGCAAATAAATTTGCATTGCAACCAAACACAGCCTTAGGAAGAAAAAGAAGGCATTTGTAATGCCTGTTGTAGAAAAGCCTAATGCCAATTCTTGGAGTTAACTTTGGCTCTTGGGGGGGGCCTATGCTGTTGAGAGTGTTTTTAGCATCCAGATCTCCTGCCCACAAGAACTTTGCCCATGCACGTTTATTGCAGTCACACATGAAGAACATCTCATCCTCCGCATAGTATTATACAGGGGGAGATATTCCCAATTCACAGGGGGTAGTGTCTTGTGGGTAGGCATGGGCAGAGTTCTCGTGGGTAGGAGATCCAGAGTCGTGCTTCTTTTAGGCTGAACACATTCACCATTCACTTCATGTCTATATTTATGATCAAAAGGAAATAGAAATAATTACTATTTTACCCCACTCTCATGGTAATGTGGCATTCCCATGAATGTTCTCAACCCAACATAGGCATAGACTGGTGGCCTGCAACAGCCAAAGTTTTTTCTCATTTATGTAACCGGAGATAAAATCGCAAAAAAGCTCTGCTTTTGAAGGAAAAACTGTCAGGTTTTCTGAAACTGTTGCAAAATGGACTTGAGAAACCTAACGCTCCCCAACATGAACGTTAATCTTAAGGTAGCTTTTGGCGTTTTTCTCCATATCCCGTTGATAAAAATCATTTTCATACTCTAAAAAAATTTCCTTTATAGGTCCATTTTATTCATCATTTGGATGAGACATTCATTAAATATATTTATTTCAAAGATGAAAACTCTTTAATTTATGGCATTAGCATTTCAGATGTGTGCTTTTTTATGCATGTTACGTTACTATTAATAATTTGTATCACGTAGAGAGAACTGAAGTTAAAACTGAGAGTGGTGAGCCTTCAAAGGAGAACCTTAGGTTTCTCCTGCAGAGATAACAGTCCTAGGAGTAGGAGCTGTTTTACAAAGAGAGTATGTTCATTTAAGATAAAACTTTTGGTCCTTTTAAATTGTATGTACAATTGCTTTTAACAGTGGATGATCTCGTTTTCGTCAAAATTTTTGAATGCTGAATGAGGTGACCTTAAATCCACCCTGAAAAGGTGATTGCACCTACAATTTAATAGGAGCCAGAGTTCTCTGCTCATTTAAGAGCTAAGTGGTGTCTAATACTTTGTTTCAATATCAAGTTCCAATTCTGATTGAAACTGAACCAACTATTTACTGACTCAACTACTCAAGGCTCACACTCTGTTACCCATATCAAGGAAGACTTGTTCCGGTTCAGACCTTGTAGTAGTTCACATATGGTTTGTTTGGTTGCCGAGAAATAGTGGGATGAGATGAGAAAGGAAAATTTTATTTTCTCATTTTTGGTCGCTATATTTGTTTGTTAAGACCCACTATCCTATAAAATCTGCTTCCAGTATTTGGTTGATGAGAGCTGGCAGATCCAAGAGCAGATCTGCAAAAGAAGTTTATGTTGTTAGGACAAATAAATCATGAAAAAATTAAATTCATGTTAGATCTGTAACAAAACACTTTTGGTTTAGTAAATCTATACAATGAACAGAGGTTTATAGCAACAAAAAAAAAAAAAGGTTTTAGATCTGAAAACCCACTAGCAAAGGGTTAGCAAATGGAGAAGATATGGGAAGAATATGAGGATGAGAAGTCCAGTCTCTAGAGACTAACCCGTGCTCCTTGTCGGCTAAGCACCTGAAACACATGAAAGGAAAAATGTTCTTGATAAAAAATGCAAAAAAAAGAAAAATGTAAATGATGTGTGAAGAGAACCTTGTCTACTTTTCTCTTGAGAAGACGAAGACAATATCCTGCCTCCTTGTCCTTTGAGATCTGAGATCATAGTTGATGGAGGGAAAAGAAGGGTATTTTTGGTGGAATAAAACACTAAATAGCGTGAAAGGGGATGTGAGTACTTACCAAAGGCCGTAAACCTCATTGGAGATTGATGAAAGATAAGGTGGTGGGAGTTCAGAGCATTGCAAAAGTAGGCGATGAGAGCAGTCCACTCTCGACAAAATTTTCACACACTCGTCGTGCAACTTTCGTTTCTCACTGGGTCGCACATATTTGGTGAGACCCCGCATCCCTTATTTTGAGAATACTAATCCCATCTCATCGCATCATATCTCTTGAAACAAACATGAGAAAATAAGAATGATAAGCAAATATTCCTATTTTCTCATCCACATCGCGCAAACCAAACAGATGATAAGGAATGATGTTCATTAAAGGGGATTGATGTTCTCATTTCTCATTACCAACCTAAGAATTTACTGGAAATTAAATTTTCTTGATCATTTATGAACATAAATCGTTCCTTTGATTAAGGACTTGGTGGGTATAATTTTAAAAATTAGGAAAATTAGCTCAAAGTATTTACTGCTCTATCTTTAGTTGATATAAGGAGTTAGTATACTTGGGTAATTTTTCCTAAAACTTCTTGGGTAATTTTCAGCTAAAAACAGAACCTTCATTGACCTTTTTTTTGGAAGGATAAAAAAAACTCATTGAGATTATTAAAAAAACCCTTTTCCATTATTCATAGAGCAGAGAGTTTATGCAACCACTCAAAACGTTTTCAATACAGATAGTATGGTGGCGGACTGGTATCCTTGAGAAGACACAAAATCAGACAGAGTTGGATACATCCTTCCATAGGTCCCAGCTTGTCTGTAGGCTTTGGAAAAAAAACCAAAAGTTGAAAAATTGCATTATTTTCTAGAATTCATCGTTTTATATTATTTTGATATATATATATATATATATTGTGGAACATTCTTCTCGTGCATAATCACAAGATATAAGCTTTCTTATCTGAGTCAAGTAAGGAAGAATCCTGTAGCTGCTTGGGGACCGTGGATGGGTCATACCTATGCTATACAAGCCATTACAAAGTTTTATGCTTCGTTTGGATAAACCTCAGGATTTGTGCTTTTAAATCCTCAATTGTGGGGTTTATGTTTTCGGGGTTAAAAGTGTTTTTGACTTTACATTATGTTTTTTGAAGAAGTATTTGGAAGTTCATCCAAACATAACCTTGGTTGATATGAAGAACTCTTGGTTAAGGCTTATTTTCATCAAACTACTTAAGATGGCCTATTGTGTTTCAGCCTAAGTGAAATAAGTGATATCAGCAGAGCTGTCCAAATCAAATACTAGACACCCAATTTCACTTAGTCAAGCAAAATGAATATCATATCACTAATAGCAAAGCGATTCACATTCCCACAGAAAGGGCCAAAGGGAATTTGGGCCAACGATCCAAATGAAGTGTGAACTAAGAAATTGCAGACTGTGTGGAAGTTAAGTACATGGGCGCCGTGAGAGAAAGCGGCTTAAAAGGACAAGTACATGGACTTTGTTGGGCAACCCGAGAGCTGGACAGGGAGGTGAGGAGGTCTATTACCTCGGAACAGTTCAATCTAAAGTAGACAAGGTTGTTCCTTTCTTCCAGCCTTTTTTTCTTCATTCATTACCGAGTGTGACTTCATGTAACTCATTGAGTACTTTGAATGTGACCCTCAACAACTTTCCAAAACCATGAATTCTTTCTTTCACAATCTCATCCCTATAATGTTTTTAGGGAAATTGTCTAAAACTTATCATGACTTTTTAGGAAAATTTATATTTTTATCATATAAACTTATCTCGAGCTGGATGAGATCAGGCAAGTCCGTTGGGCTATCCGGCCCATGAACAAGTCTAATAGCAAGCAAAAGAACACAATTTGGATTTTTAAAAAATTAACCCACACATTTACTTTTTTCTACTTAACACAACACACCAACTTTTCAATATAAGTGGTAATAGCAAGATTCGAATCTGCACCTCTGTTGGGACCACCCAACTAACATGCCAACAGAGCCACCACTCGATTGATAAATAATCCACACATGATGTCATGAGAAAAGGGATCTAAACAGAGTACTAGCAGAAGGGAGGTTATTTCTCTAATGACAACACTCAACAGGGGAGATAGTTCAAGTTGAAAAGAGGGGCTATTTCATCATTTAGAAGAAGACTCAAGGGAGGTTGATCATTGATGTCTTTTATTAATAATTATTGAATCATGTAGTCTTTAAAATAATGAATTATGTAGTCTTTATAAGTAACTAAAATTGATTCGTACTTGTTCTGTTTTCCCTGACTTCTTTGAACTGAGTTCAACGGGACAGTATCTTATATATGCTGCAGTAGACAAATGTGTTCTGGCAAATATCCAACAAGCAGAACTCAAGGCAACGTTTGAGGCCCTAGAAACATATATATATATATAGTTAAGGATATGAAAGATGTGTGTTTTGAGTATGTAAATACGGAGTCGAATATAATTGCCCATAGATTGGCGTGGAGAGCTTGCTAAGTACAAAACAAATAATTTGTACTGATGAAAATATGTTGTACTCAATTTGTTCATGTTTGGAAACGATGCAAATAAGCGTGAATGCAAATATGTAGAGTGCAAAACGGTTCATATAAATTGTAAAATTAGATTAGTTTTGCACTGATAAATTTATCTTCTTACCAAGTAGACTTTTAGCTGTAATGGATGCAAATATGAATTTCAATAAAGCATAGGCTTTTTTTTAATCAAAAGTTCACTTGAATGCAAATTTACTTCTTTTTTATTGATGTACTTTTACATCTTATTATTAATGTAAATATGTATTAGTCTGTCATTTGTCAATGCATAAATGTAATATTGCCAAATACAGGCAAAAGTGAACCAAAGTGCAAATTTACCCAAAACCGGAATTTACACTCCATTTGCATCATTTACAAGTACAGTCTATTCGAAAAGCAGCTTCTTTCTTGCCAAAAAAAAATGGAAGCATTGGCATTCAAAGAAAAAAAAATAGTTTAAAATATCGATATACATGATACATTACATATAGTATCCATTTCCAAGAGACCCAGCATATGGCACGAGTGGAATAGAAGAATCCAGATTTCCTCATAAAGTTGAGTTATCCTCACACCCACCTTGCAACACTTGCAGCTGTGCATGGGAACAGCTGCAAGTATGAGAAATGTTCCTGATGTGCGGCTGCAATGCACTGTGAAGAGGGTGAGAGCAACATTATGTGAGGAGGAAATCTGAACTTGGAATAAAAGAGATTCCATATCTATGGTATTGTATGCTATTTGATTGTTTAAAGGTGGATATGGATTGCTACCGATACTTACGGTGTAATACACGTCTCACAATGGAGGAATGTTTAAACTATGTCATCTGATTATTTTTTACCTTCCAACAATTTTCCTGTGCTGAAATGTGGAGTTTTCATATTGGAAAACAACTCCAAATCTTTCATTAAAAAGTGGATTAATGGAAACCAAAGTGGGTATAGGATGGTACATTTTCTTGTATGTCTTTTTCTCAGCTAATGTTCTACGTGTTTGGGTTCTTGAAATCTATAAATATGTTTCTCTCTTGTTGAATTTATGAGGTTTTTGCTTATATAATTATATCTATTGATTAATTGTTTGGGTAAGGACTTATACCGTGAGTTTTCAGAAATTTACTTAAACATAAACGCATCTTAAGGTTTTAAAATAAGTTTAAATATGCTGAGGGCTGATCCTACTGCACTTGAACATACCCATCCTTGCGTTATTTTGGGTGGTTGTCAAAGCCTATTTAAGGGAATTACAAGTGGATTAGCGTAGAGAAGTTACAGAGTTGTGACCTTCGACATAGAGAAGTTAGAGTTGTTTCTGCCCGCAAATGGATCGCCAAGAATTTGTCCACTGATAGGATTTTGTTGGTCGGTTCTTCTGTAGGTGCAACCATATGTCAAGCTTTGCCACTGATCTGGTAGAACAAGTCGTTGGTTATGCCAGATGGTGATACCCTTCTGATTTCACTGCATCCATCTCTTTAGGCGGCATCATAAAACCATCTTACAGTCCCAAAACCAAAACTATTTGTTATGGGCACCAGGAATGGATTTACAAGCATGAAACAATTAGAGAACAAGCTCAAATATGCAACAGGGCATGTGAAAACTCATCTGAGAGTAAGCCACGTCCAGATGGAGGAGCCTGCTTATGACACTCAAATGGTCGACCTGATTCTGAAATTCATTGGATCGTTGTACTGGCTGCAACAGCCTCGTCATGCTCTAAAGCTGGAAGGATGAAATGAATTACATTACGTTATTAGCCCATTAACAAGAAGTCTAATGACTTGGCCCTCCCTCTTAGACTCGTCACCCTAGTTTGATTGTTTTCCAAAAATAAATAAATAAATAAATAAATAAATAGTTTCTTGGTGACATTTTTGTTATAAGCATCTTCTTTTCACTTTAATTTGCCGACCAGCAGACCTTGGTTAGATTCAGTCTCTTGGGATGTGTCGCTAATTTTTTTGTCTTGCTTTAGATCGGACATATGAACTTCGTCTTTTATTGGATTCTTTTTTGAAAATTTGAATTAAAATAAAGGGTCAAAATGTCAAAAGATATGTTTAAGTCCATTTTAAAATCTCAGGGCATCTTTTAGTCAATTTCTGAAATTCAAGGTTATATTAAGTGGCTTAAGTCTTTTACCCTAATTGTTTTGGTAATTTACAAAATAAAAATAATAAAATACGGATTAATTATTTTATTAATTAGAATCATGAATTTAACATGATTTTATTGAATGGTGGAGATATATTTCAATTAATGTCAGAAAGCACAAGAGGAAAAGAGGAGTCCTAACATAGATAAAACTAGATTACCTTTCAAATTACAAACTGATCATCCCAGTTAACCCAGAGTTGGCACTACAAACCCGAAAGTTCCCTGTACGGACCAGCCCAGTTAAAATGACCCCTTTCGATCTTGCCAATTACAGCTTCAATTGGAACTCTGAAGTGAAGTCATTAAACACCCTCTGATTTCTTTACAACCAAAAAAATGGGGCCCACCATTAACGAGATGTGCAGTGTCAGATATGTTGTTGGTAGGGGTTGGAACGTGTTTAGCAACCATCATGCCGAGATCCATGGGTATAGCCAAAAGCACCCTGAACAGGTGAATAAATCAGCAGATGATTAATACTCTCCCCCTCCTTGCATAGGCTGCACCTGTTAACCAAGACCATTCCCTTCGATCGTGGGTGATCAATTATAAGTATTCTGTCTAGGATAGCAGACCACACGAAGAACAGGGATTTGGACGGGGCCACGACGCTCCAAACGTCCTGAAAATCGCAAAACTGTTTCATAAATTTAGAGAAAGATGAACAAAATAAATTGCGAATCATAAAGATTACTTCTATTCTTTTTATAAATTTGTATAACATTAAAAATAAACTTACTCTATTTTTAATTCATACCTACCATATATATACTTAAAACAATAAAATTTACCATTTGAACGATGGAAGCCTAAGATGATATAATCATGTTTGACTTGTAACTGTAAGTCAAATAATTCATGTGCAATGGCTCTTTAATCTACATATGATGGAAAAATAAACTCAAAATGTCGTATATAACCTGAATAAATCATTTTCTAGCAAGTGATTCAGACAAAACTTAAAATAAACAAAGCAATAACAAAGTAGAGAACCAATTCTTAATTGAATTGATTCAAGCTACATGAATCATATAACTTGTGAGATTCATGAATAAAATCACAGGACAAACAAAAATTGTAAGACTTTTGGGAAAAAAAAAACAATTCAGACATAAGATTCAAATTGAAATCCGGATTTCACGATTAAAGTCAAAAACAATTGTAAGATTTTTTTATTCTTTTTTGCACTCAAAAACTGCCAGAAGTTGATCAAACATATTTGTGATGGCTTTGGAGAACGTAAGCTGGCATTTGCAGTTACATACCAGACATTTTCAATTCTTAATTTCCTTTTATGTGTTTTTGAGTAAAATTCTACCAAACAAATCTTCCTTTCCAGAGAGCAGATAAAAAAAAAAAGCAAAATCCTATCATACACTATAAAATTATCACATTTTTCTAGAAACAATACAATTTTATACCATCTTTTTATTCCTGTAAAATTAAAATGATACAAATACTTGGGAAGATTCCGCATGGAGTTTCCTTAACAAAAAATCTTCAGTTCACAAGGAGCAAGCAGACATTTCTAGAGCAAAACAAGGTCATATCTTATGCTAAAAGGAAAAAGAAGCATAAATCACCATAACAAAAAAAATAAAAAATAAAAAATCACCATACCAACCACCTCCCCCCACCACCAAGAGAGAGAGAAGGAGAGAGAGGGAGAGATCGAGTAAAGTGGGCAAACATGTGAAAGTTAATTGAACCAAAATGAGATAGAATCAAGTTGCAAAACTAAAATAAGAATTCTGTTAACCTGATAGGATCAAAGGGATTAGGCAAGGCAAGACTCGATTCCATGCTAATTCAACTACCTTCATGTAACCATTGAAATACCAGCCTGCACCACACAGATGAGAGAAAAGATAGGAACCAAATTATTGTAGGTGGGAATTTTTAGATCCTGCTTTTTTGTTCTGCTAAAATATTTTAGGGATGCAAGTTCCTACATCTTTCACCATAAATTTATCCACGAAACTTAGTGATGGCAGCAACCATTCAGACACATATATTGGTGTACTTCTACTTTCGGCATTAGCACATTCTTCATCTGCAAAATGAGTAGATATGATAGATTTCTGTAAATTTCGAAGAATATAGCACCACCAAATGCAAGTAATCAACATAAATTTAGCAACAGTATGCTTGAGATAAAAACTCACCTGAAACTCTTAAAAGTATCCTATGTGTAATAAACAACTGCAATCACAATATTGAAAGAGAGGGTAGCTTCAAATTGAAGGAGCTAGGAAGTAACAGTGACAAAAATGATCACATATGAGGTGGCAATCTACTTCAATGTGTTTTTATGCTCAGAAAAATGGGTTTGAAGAAACCAGAATGGCACTCACATTATTATCAACTAGTAGTGTATCACTACAGACTAAGGACATGATTCTATATTTAGCTCACAAGGATTAGAAGATGTCAGATACTTGCATTTCTAACCTGTTGTAGATTGGCAAGTGTTAGGACAACCTACTCAATCAGCATTTACATAGGCTCCAGGTGGTAGATTAGTGCAAAACATTGTTCTAACACCATATCGGGGTAGGAAAATTTATTGAATGCCTTGATTGCCTGTATATTTTTATTTATTACAATAATGTACAATTGTTAAAATACCACTAAACAGACGATAAAGAAAATAACAAATATACATTATTTGCAAGAAAGACCAATGCTACACTATGATTTACGTAAAAAAAAAAAAAAAAGAAAAAAAAAGTATCTAAATATGATAATGCAATTAATCTCCAGCTGTATTTTCATCACAATTAAAAGGCCTACTTTTAGCACCAACAAGAGACCCAAATATAGGCCCAACTTCACAACAAAAGGGGTCAAACAAGAGTAATTGGAGAAGTCTATTCTGGTCTGACATTTCAGAGATCTGCCACCACATTAAATACTCGGAGCTTTCAGAATGCTTCAACCAGAAATTATAAGGTTGGAAAGGTCTTGTACTTTGTAACACAAGCCAATTTCATCTAAGACTATGAAATGCAACACAAGTCATCATAGCTAGATCACAAAAATCCTTTTCTTTTATTTTCTTTTCATTTTTTCATTTTCTTTTTTGATTGGTGATCACAATCTCATTGAACTCAATAGTTTTCAAGGCGTCTAAGCGAGGCTAGGCGACCACAGGGTGCTCAGGCTAATCGAGTTCAATTTGAACTCAATATGCTTTTTTTTCCATGTTTAAGAAATAGCAGACTAGTAACCTTTATAAGTGATCACTCTATAGAATATGATGTCATGAAGATGATAAATAATTCAAGTTATCATACATAAAAAAAAACTTTATAGAACATATTGACAGAAAATTCAAGTACCTGCCAGACTGAAGGCATATACTCACGATGCAAATATTTCTGATCATCTAGTTGTAAAGTTCTTAAATACGAGGTATCTTGTGAATGCCATTTTCTAAAAGTCCTGTTGTAGAGAATTTTTCATTAATTCACAACTTTATATTAGCAGAACAAGTAAATAATTAATAAGGCGAATAACTATAAGGATGGCAAATTTCCCCATCCCCGGAGGGGACCCGACTTCCCCGACACAATGGGGGCGGGGATGGGGACGAACATATATAAAAAATTATTTATAATTTAAATTTTTTATTTATTTGAAGTAAATTTATTTTTCAAAAAATACTGTTATCTAAAAAAAATTTCAGGGATTCGGGTCCCGTGGGAAACCCATCCCCGTCGGGGATTGGTGATGGAGGACAAATTTTATCCCCGGCGGGGATCGGAGATGGGGGACAGGGGTTACTTTTATAATCAGGGTCAGGGACGGGGAATATGATCCCTGCCCCATTGCCATTCCTAAATAACTATACTTCAGCTACTTACGATAAAAGCAAAGGAGAGGATATGTAAGAGTTAGAAAACAAATGAAAGGGACAATCTTGAGTAATGAGTAGTGTCTGTTTGTGAGTGATATAAGGTCTACCAAAGGTATTGTATATCTGTTGGAGCATATATTGAAGCAATAAACAATCCATTGTTGCTAAGCCGGTGCAAAAACTGAATACAAAGCAATGGAATATAGAGTTTCAAAATTACTTTGGCATATAGAGTTTCACCAAATAATAACTTCTAGGCTTTCCATGTGGGACCCACCTTACAAAGCCAGAAGCTACCATGTGAAATGAAAGTCCTCCCAAACTGGTACTAAATTGCAATTCTACTACCCATCATGGGTGTGAAAGTCAGACTGGATTAGGTTGGATTGAGGTTAACTCTAACCCTAATCCAGCTTGGATTCAACCAAGTTTTTGGGTTGGGTTGAGGTTGGCCCGACTTCTCCACTTCCCTTTGCCAAATGTTCTTATTTCCTAGACTCAAGGTTTTCTATTTCCTAAGAGTTCCCTTCAACTTCCAAGTGCTGGAAATTAGATTTCTTTGCAACCTTAAGCCTTTCAACAATGCCAACAGTTCAGCTTTCCATGAACCTCTAACCCCTATGGGTCCCAAAAACAAAGCCACCTTCCTGCCTGAGGAATCTCTAAATGTGTCTCCAATACCTGCCATTGCCAGATTTCCCATGGAGCTCCCATCAAAATTTAGCTTTGTTTTATTCCTTAGCATGGTTTAAAATCTCAATAGCTTTCCATTTCAATGGGTACCAGCACAAAATTATTAGTATTATTTGCACATTGTAGTTTAAATTTAGCTTGATATGCAATGTATTAGTTTCTTAGTTTTGTTTGAACATTTGGAACAAGATCACCATCATCATCTAAGGTTCTTATCACCACTATATGAGGTTGACTACATGAATCCTGTTTCCAAATTCTGTTCGCTTTATCTATGTTTATTTTTATCATTTCCTAAAACTGGCAAACCTTTCCACCACCGGATTCTACAGTGGAAGCCTCAAAGAAACTATGAGAATTGAATTTCAATGCAACGTTCTTCAGAAAAACTGAGCCCTAGGTACACAAGGGAGAGAAATGAAGAGAGGGAGGAGTTGGATGAGGGCTGGGTGCACTATGGCGCAGACAATGAAGTTCTGGATAAGATTTCAGATGGCAGAACTAGCATCGGAAGTGTGGATGACAATGATGGCAGCGATGTGGGTGATATGGGTCTGCTGAACGTTGAAAATCTTTTTCAGGGAGACCTAGAGGAGAAACAGACTTCTACTCCAGACGGCCAGGGAGGTCTGACAGGGAATGGAAGCAGATTTGGGACTCGTGAAGTGAATGGGACTAAAGACAATAACTAGAATAACTCATCTCCAAGACTTCAGATTGTGCAAGGCGAAAAAGAAGGGGTAAACCAAGAGAACCTGTGGCAGAGCAGGGACGTACTAAGGGGTGAACCAAGGGTAGAGAGGAGAGACTGCCATGGTGTCCAAAGGACAGAATTGCTTCCCAACCAACCTAAGGAGACAGTTTTTTACCAATCCTCTGAACATGAAAGGGAGGCTGGGAACAGTGCCATGTGTACCTCTCCCATTTGCCAGTCAAACCCAGGTAACCAAGTGAATTCAGTTTGTGCTACTAATGTCTTCTCTGTGTCCTATGTTCCAGATTCAGGTCCCATTCCAAGTTCAGCAGCCCGTGTATGTGTAGCCAACCAGGATGGTGAGTCAGCTAAAGCTATGGGGAAGGGAGTGAGGGATTGTGGGGAAATGGTGGAAGGCATAGGAATGAGAAAGCATGGGAAATTATTGAAAGAGTCTTCAGTGAAATTGAACAGAATGTGATGTGGAGGAAGGATTTAGAAGAGAAAAGAGGGAAGGGATCAGTTGAGAGGGGAGAAGGAGAGGAGGGAGAAATGAAGGGGAATACCTAGAGAGGAAAGTGGTGGAGGGAGTTAATAGAGAAAACCTGATAGCAGACTTTGTGGGGAAGCTAGGATGTAGACTGGAGGACTTAAATGGTTTGAAAAGTGGACTACAGAAGAAGAAGGAAATAAGAAAAAGGAATGTGGTTTTAGGACCGGAGGGGTTGATTGGGAAATACTGAATTTCATTGAAGTTCAAGCAACAAGAGGATGGTTGTGTGGGTGCTTACAAATGTTTATGGACCAAATGACTATAGAGAGAGAAAGGAATTGTGGGAGGAGCTGGCTGATATCAAAGGGCTATGGGATGGGCCTTGGTGCGTGGGTGGGGACTTTAATGTGATAAGATTCAAGGAGGAAACCAATAATATCAATCAAAGAGTGACTACTAGTATGAGGAAGTTTAACCAGTTTGTGGATGTCTTTGAACTTAAAGAGATTCCCTTAGTCCATAAGACATCCTGGTCAAATCTCCAAGCAAGTCCCATCTACTCCAAGCTGGATAGGTTTCTGTTCTCTTTGGATTGGGAAGAACATTGGGGGAATTTAGACTCTAGGGTTCTTCCTAGATTGACCTCTGACCATTGGCCTATTGTGATATGTAAGGAGTAGAGGAGTGGAGGACCTTCCCCTTTTAGGTTTGAAAATATGTGGTTACTCCATCCGGTGTTCACTAAAAGAGTAAGGGAGTGGTGGAGTGAATGCAACTCAATGGTGGAATGGGAAGGAATGAGATTCCATAAAAAATTACAATTTCTGAAAAACAAAGATCAAGGAATGGAATCAATTGGAGTTTGGAAGGATTGAGGAAAGAAAAAGAACTTTGATGGACCAAATTGAGAGCTTAGATGTGAAGGAAGAGAGAGGAGAGTTTGGAGAGGTAGACAAGGAGCATAGAAGAAGTCTAAGAAGACAGTTAGAGGACTGCCTACATAAGGAGGAAATAAGTTGGAGGCAAAAATCTAGATGTAGATGGCTGCAAGAGGGGGATAGGAATACCAGGTTCTTTCATTCTCTGGCTAATGGAAGGAGGAGGAACTTTATTTCCAAACGAGAAGTGGATGGAGTTGAGTTGACACAACAAGATGAGATTGCAGGGGCCTTTGTAGGACATTTTAAATCTATCTTAAGGAGGCCTGTGTGTAGGGGGTGTGGGTGGAAGGTTTGGATTGGCCAGATGTGGGGGTTGATAATAGGAGAAGATTGAAAAAAAGGTTTAGTTGGAAGAAATTAAGGAGGTTGTTTTCTCTATGGATAGAACAAAAGCTCCAGGTCCAGATGGGTTCACAATGGCTTTTGATCAAGATTGTTGGGATACTTTGAAAGATGATCTGTTGTTGGTGTTTGAGGAATTTCACAAGAGAGGAGTGGTTAACCCAGATGTGAATTCCACCTTTTTAATTGTGGTTCCGAAAAAGAAATATGCATTCCACCCGAAGGACTTTAGTTCAATCAGTTTGGTAAATAGTTTGTATAAGATTCTGGCCAAGGTGTTGTCTCTAAGATTGAAAGAAGTATTGCCAAATATCATTACATCAAATCAAAGAACCTTTGTGAGTGTAAGACAAATTACCGACCAGATCTTAATTGCTAATGAGAGTGTTGAGTTTTTCAAAAAGCATGGGAAGAAGGGAGTGGTATGTAAGTTGGACCTAGAAAAGGCTTATGATCTGGTAGATTGGGACTTCTTGAGGAGAGTTATGACCAAATTTGGATTTGGGGACAGATGGTGCAAATGGATTATGGGGTGTCTTCAGAATTGTCATTATTCTGTACTAGTGAATGGAATAGTGGTTGATTTCTTTCTAGCCACTGGGGGTATAAGACAAGGGGACCCCCTATCTCCCTTCTTGTTCACATTGATTGCTGATGTTTTGGGGAGACTAATCCACAAGGCGGACTCTAGGGGTCTCATTAGAGGATGGAGAGTTGAAAGGGAGGAAACCCCACTCACCCACCTACAGTTTGCAGATGATACGATTATGTTCTGTGAAGGAGGAAACTTGGGGTATATTAGGAACATGAAACTGGTGGTATTACTTTTTGAATGAATGTCAAATTTGAAGGTGAACTTTGAGAAAAAGTTGTGTAGTGGATGCGAACTTGGAAGAGGAAGAAACTAGGGAGAGTGTAGAAGTGCTAGGGTGTGAGGTCTCAGTATGGCCGTTGAACTACTTGGGTTTGCCATTGGGTGACAACCCAAAGAGGGACAGTTTCTAGAATCCGGTGGTGGAAAGGTTTGAGAAGAGACTTGCATCTTGGTAAAAGAACTATCTTTCTCTTGGAGGTAGGATAACACTGATTAAGGCTACTCTAGAAAATTTATCCATCTATTTTCTTTCAATGTTCAAAATTCCAGTAAAGGTTTCTAACAAGCTAGAAAAATGATGAGAAACTTCCTTTGGGAGCCGGGAGAGGAAAAGAGGGACCATAGGATAAGCTGGAAGGTGGTGACCATGAGTAAAAACAATGGTGGTTTAGGGCGTGGGAACATTAGAGAAAGGAATTTGGCACTCCTAGGGAAATGGTTGTGGAGATTCCCACTAGAGAAGGAGAAATTATGGGCCAAAATAGTGGTAAGCATTCATGGGTTGGAGCTAAACAGATGGGATGCTGGAATTCTGGCTAGGACCACAA